CAATTTGGATCATTATCTCCACGCCTTTATGCTTGATTGATAGCCAATGATGGGAGAGAAAATAAGAATTTGTCACTACCCCGCCCTCAACTTGAATGGCAAGTAAGGAGGAAATTAATTTTTCTTCTCCACCTACCTTAATGAATGAAGAGAATTTCCCCTTCTTGCTTGAATCGTTCTAGTTCAAAATGGCGGAGAGAGCAATTAATATTTTCATAACTGTGAATTTTTTTCGTTTTCTATATTTATTTTTAAAATAGCAATAATTATTTTTTTTCTAATATTTTGTTTATGATTGATTAGATATCATTCTAATACTAAAACATTATTGCCTGAAAAATAATGTTTATTTATTTTCTGCTTCTTAGATTCAGATCATTTTAAGCTTTGTTTACCTTGGAGGTCAATTATACGGAAAAATCAAATATACGGACTTTGGGAAGTCCTGCCGATTCCAGATACGCGACTTTCCACTGTACTTGAAATAAATGAGCTTTATAATTGTGCAAAAAAAAATTTTGACTCATGTAAATAGTCTCAGAGACATGATGAAATGCCAATAGTAGAAAAATTAAACATCGAAGGTCCAAATTTGAATGTTTTTGTGCCTGATTTAACTTAAACATCAGAACAGGGTAATTGGCATATTTAAGATATGCTTGCATTGAATGTGTGAAAAAACGAACATTAGATAAGTTACAAGGTTTAAAAATTTTTATATTTTAAAAACTGTATCTATCAGTCAGTTATGAGAAAAAATAAATGTGAATAAAGCTTAATAAATATGAAAATCAATCAAACTAAAAATTAATTACAATTAATTCTGGGTAGAAAATTTACTTCTTATGAACATGCACATATATATATATATATATATAAGTAAAAAAATTATACCCATAAATCATGTTCTGCATAATCGAACAACAAAAAGACTTTTCTATCAGTGTGAGATAGAAACACTCTTTGAAGAATTATCACATTAGGATGCTTACGTCCTCTAAGAAGCTGTAAAGGAAAAAAAGTAAACATTAAAAAAATAGATTAAACAAAATCCAAACATACTAAAAATTTATGACTAGAATTAATTACAATAACTGGCCATGAAGTGTACTTATTACTTTTTTGGGATGAGTATTTTAATACAAATATTAATATGGGAAACATAGGACATTTTGAAAAATTAGTTTAAATTATGATTCTGGCTTCTATTTGAACAAATACATTTTTACACATTTAGCCTCACTTGTAATAGGTTTAAGATGAGTTTAAACTTAAATTATAAGTAATATCTATTTTTAGTTTAGCTTAGCCTCTAATTCTTGAAGGGAAAAAAAAGTAGAAGAAAAGAAAACTTTTTTTAATTAACTTGATAGATTTAAAAGTTTTAATACAAAATTTTCAATAACTAACAAGCATAACATTAGTATGCTAAATTAACATCTTATATGTCAAGGGACTAAATACTAAAGAGTTTAAATTGAAAATACATAAAATTTTAATTTAATCACATTTAAATTTCTGATATTTCCCTTTTTTTTTCCTAAAAAAAAATAATATTACCAATCATCCAAAAATTAAATGCATTTACAAGAGTAATGAAAAATATAAAATATTCACTAATACTAAAGATATTGTAAATAAATCAAGTAATAGCAAAGAGAATTTTCTAAAGTTTTTCCTTACAGCTATTTCACGGCATGCAGACATGGCTATTCCAGTGCCTTCAATCTGCTTTAATGCATAGTCTTTTGGATCAGACCTAAAATAAATATTTTACAGAATTTCACATAATAATTTACAACAAAATCTGTGCTAAATAAGAATTTTTATAAATACAAATTTTTTATTACTAAAAGAAATCAGTCATCCTAGAGATGACTGATGACCTGAAAAACGGAAGACAGAAACCATGATATGCTACATTCTGTTAAGGAAACAAAAATATTTATTCCTACCATATTTCAAAATTCATAATGGCAACAGTTCATTGTCAACTAGACAGTATTTCTTTAAAATAAACACATTTTGTAGAAATAATGTATTGTAGAACAAGAAAAAAAATTAACAGAGACTAGTAAAAATATTTAAATTTAAATTGTCTGGCATGAAAGTCTAAGATGTTGTTATCAGTATTGTTATTTTTCCTTTAAATTCCCTTCATAAACCTTTTTTTAAAAAAAATATTTTAAGAGATATGTAAACAAACAAGTGGAAATACATATGGCCTAATAAAATTTTTGAACTAGTCACTCAATTTTTTTTTAAAATTTATATCCCTGACTAATATTTCAAAAATAAAAAAATACACAAGAAAAACTTTACTCTTAAAATGAAATATCCCAATTTTATATTTTACAGCTGTTTTTTAAAATAAGGTCCTTGGTACTTAACAATTTTTCATTTGAGCTTCATAAAGAAAATTCAAATTGAATCTAACAAAAATAAGAAAAAGAACTTGAAAATGGCTTTTTACCAATAAACGTGACAAACGAGAGAATACTGCTAATAAATGTTTTATAACAAGTTATTTAACATATGTGTCAGAAACATATTTTTTCAACTGAATACGGTAAAGAATCTTAAAGTGCTTGCTCATTTAGCATAAGAGTCTGTAATTTTGAAGCAGGCAAAAAATATTAAAATTTAGCTGCAAATGATTTTTAAAAAAAAACCTGTTTTATCTCTATAGTCAGAACCGCTATCATTTACACGAATGCCCTTCTTGGAAAGTTTTTACTACTACTACACAACGAAATAGTTTTTAAGCTTTTTCCTACCTATGTAAATGCGATTTAATATAGAGTTTTGTATTCACGCGATTTAATATCATGTCTTGTATTCACACGATTTAATATCACCTATTGTATTCACACAATTTAATATCACGTCTTGTATTCACACAATGTAAAAGCCACTATTAAGATTGGTGTTCAAGTGATTTAAAAATTCACTGAAATTTGAAATCATGCGTTTTTAAACTGAAACATCGAGATTTGTACTAACGTGATGTTAAAATCAAACATCGAGATACATATTATAGCGAATTTAACATTAAATGTCGAGATTCGTATCTATGCTATTTTAAAATCAAAGATTGAGATTCATATTCATGAAATTTTAAAATCAAACATTGAGATTCATATTCATGCAATGTTATCTCAAACATAGAGAAGCATATAAAACGATTATAAGCTTAAACAGAGATTCGTATTTACACGATTTTAAAATTATATGCTTAAAATGAAATTTCGGTTTATTTTTCAATTATTTTAAGTGATTTTGTACTTAACATTTCTGGATTTCTATTTTTAGTTTTTTTGGTTTTTTACGAAACTCATCCCTACAGTTAGAATTAATATAAAGTTCAAAAAAATTTTAACATTCTTTAAAGAAAACTTATTTTTAGACAAATTTTGCAAAAATGAGTTGGAAGCAAAAAGATTGAAACTAGGTAGTTACAAGAGTTGATCAATGCTTAAAGAAAGTTTTTTTTAATTGAGGTTTTGTGTTTGTAGGTTTTTTATTTTTACCAACTCTGGTTATAGTTAACAGAAAATTATTTTATGAGGCTTGTATTTTTCTTATTTGTGAAAAAGATTTATTTGTAACTAATCTTAAAAAATAGCAAATATGTAGATCAAAAATACTTTTTATTATTATATGCTAACCCATCTTTTCTTCTTGCTTTATAGACATGACCATAAGTTCCTCTTCCAACTTTACAGCCTTCATATTCAAACAAATCTTCAACTTTAGCTCGTTCATTAGATGTTCTCATTTTAAAGTCAAAATCCATTTAATTTGGGAACACTGTTAAGAAAATAAACATATTTTTACAATGATTACATTAAAAATGATTAGTTTCTTTACATGTTAAATTTTTCATGAAACTTTACATTCCGGAAAAATTAAGTTAAAAAAAGTTTTTTAATTTCTAAGTTTTTTACATTCTGTAAACTAATAAATCAGTCATAATAATTTGCTTCATAATCTTGTTACTTTTTGTGATTAGATCTATTTACATAAATTTTTTTTCGTCTGACTAGTAAAATAATCAATTATACATAGATAATAATTCACATTACTTTTAAATGAAACCTAAGTCAATTTTTAAGATTATTTTTCATTCCTATTTTTATAATTAAATTATGATTTATATATGCTGGATTTCAACTATCTAAAAATGGTTATGCACCCTTGCTTAACTACTTAAAAAATAACTCCTAAATAGTTTTTTGTTTCTTCGATTCAGATCACTTCAATGTACTGAAATGTCTGAGACTGAATATACAAACTATTAACTAATTCCAAATGGGTTCCTTTTTTTTTTAAAGAAATTAACACTTGGCTGATATTCCACTTTTTAGAACAGTCCTTTCACTGACAAGATAATGAAGAAGAAATGAGCTAACAGAAATTGAATGAAATCCGTATCACAAATTCTTATTAATTGTGACACTTCTAAGTTCTCTTTTAGCAGCAAATCATGACATATACACCATTTCAAAATAAATGTTTAATTATCCAACAGCCTTACTTTAATTTAAATAATTTTATGTTTTGCTGATTTTTTTTTAAAAAAAATCACGATTACACCAAAGATTTTAATTTACCAATTATAATAATAACTATACATCAGACAGGAATATAAATTAAAATTTCAAATTTAGACTTAAAAAGAGTTGTGTATGTTGAGTACATGAACCATATTCTTACAAACTGTTACAACACACATAACATCCAACCAAGGATAAATACTTAGCCTTGTCTTCAAGGCTCAATTTTTTTAATGACTATAATCAGAAAAACACATAATTGTAATCTGTTAAGACAATATGGACAAAGCCTGACTCAGTATCCTCATATCAAGCTTCCACTACATGTAAACAAGATATGAATTTTAACCACAATCCATTTCTCAAGCAAATTACAGCTGTTACAGTGTTTTCATCATAGAAAAAAAATGAGCGAGAATTTCTCACCCTTTCTCAGAAACAGGGTGAGATTACAAAAAGTTAAGTGAGATTTCTAAAAACTAAAAAAACACAAAAACTCTTGAAAAAAAATCATTTCTTTAATTATAACACATTTTTAACGTCTTCTATTTTTTAAAGCATTGACTATTTTTGGTGCATCATCATAGAAGATTTTGCCTTTGCAAGGTATTTGTCCACCCTACATTAGTGCATAAAAAATTTGAACGTCTTACGTGAAGAAACCTTTCGGTAAACAGGTGGTTGCAGAGAAATGTGTTTTGTTGTTGGAAAAGATTCTGAACAATACTGGTAAATAGGGAAGCTAGATAACGGGGCAGATGTTGAAAATAATGAAAGATCAAGGAAGAAAAAAGTAAACGGATTTTATTCTAAATGGCGTAATTCGAAGCTTTTTCCAAAATGCGAGAAATTCACGAATTTTGAAATTAATTAATAGAATGCGCGAATTTCTCGCGGTAATAATTTTTTAATGCGAGAAAAGAAAAAAATATGCGAGATTCTCGCTTTTCACTAAAAGATTCTTTTAGCTAATCACTTTTTCTCTGTTGCGTTTTTTGATTCTTATGTGGTGATATAGAGATTTTTTGGTGCAGGTATTAATACGGAAATCCATCCATTGAATTTCATTATATTTAATATAAAGGATATCACAACTTCTTAAAGATATTTTCAAATTAAATAATCAAAGTTTTAAATAAATATTCAATACTTGATATTTTTAAATTTAGTGTTTTCGATGTTAAGTTTTATTTAACATCGATTTTCTTACTTAACATCAATTTTTCTTTTATAATTTTAGCTTCGTTTGCTAGATTTACAAGCTAATCTACCAGAAAGGAATAATTCAGTTTTGAAATGTCCTGCTGGATACTGCAAATGGAAAATAACACACTCAAGTAGAAAACCAGAGGACGCAAGTTCGATCCTGACAGAAAACAAAACAACTGGTGTGTATTTGTAGCAAGGTGCAAGTTAAATCTCTCGTAGCTTAAAGTCCTCTTATTGCTTGTTGTGTAGAAGTTTGAAGAAAGGAGCATACCAGCTTGATTCATCCCTACTTTGCGTGATAGAAGTAATATTCACTGTTGATGATCATTTTATAAAATCCTTCAAGAAATTTTTAAAGATTTCTTAATTGATCGCTCGGAAATATAGTTGCAAGTAAACAATAACTTGCATTGTCGGAATAAAATTGCATGAAATCTCTGTAAAGTCTCGAAAACTTTTATCACTTAAAAATAATAATAAATTAAAAGCACATAGTCCAACCGTTGCTTTTTATATTAGAGAATAAAAATTATTTTATTTACTATCAAATATGTGCTTTTAACTCTCATTTTTCCAAAAGATTATCGATATGTTAATTTTAAGCAATGACGGCAAGAATATATTGCTTTATAATTGGATAAATTTTATTTTTATATTGTGTTTTGTTTCAAAATAAAATAATTCTGTTGTGACATAATATTTTTCGTGATTTATTTATTATTTTTTTTATTTTTTATTCTTAACTACTGCAGTGTGTTATTTATTCTACCACTTCGTTATAAATCTTCAGAATTTCAGGAAATGGGGGTTGGCAGTTATGATATTTTCATTAATAAAACTTAATAAGATATGTTTGAAATTTTTTTATAGTGATGCTTAGGTATTACGAAAACAGATACATTTAAATTTTGGTTACTTTTAAATTTTCAGGATACCAAAATCAATTTTATTTTATTGTTAGCATAGCATTTATTACTTGAATTTTGAATTATTTAGTTGAAATTTAAGATAAGAAGTATAAAAATTAATATTATTTTTATCACGTTTAAAATAATATAACAGTAAAATAATGATAATATTAAAAATTTATTTGTCTCAATATTTAAAATTTAGCTGATGAACGTTTAAATTATTGTGTAAAAACAAAAATTTTAATCAATGTATAAAAGAATCTTGTTTAAATTTTTATCTGAAAGGCCCTGTGTATTCGTTGCAAAAACAAGTTTTTTAAATGCATAATATAGTTTTTTAGTGGCTAATTCATCAATATCAGAAACTTGACTCCAGCCTCAGCTTAATTTTTTAAATTTTCTTTTTACAAAAAAGCTCTGCTTAAAACGCTTACAAATTACTCCTACTCTTTGTAAATCTATTTATGTTTATAATCCATTATCTATTATCAGGAAAAATACAGACAATGAAATTGTTTCAAACAAAAAAATCTATTTTACTATAGCAACGTTCTCAAATGAGTAATTGATTATAGTCAAATTTTGATGTATTCATACTAAAGGCAGCTTTTAAAAGATTACGTAAGAAATTTTATATTTTTTTAGTAGCATTCTCGCACGCAATTAAATGTTTCAGCAAATTTAATTTAGATAAAACATTATATTTACAAGTTTTTTTGGTTTTAAAATTAAAATAATATGCAACTTTTTTGGCGAAGATTGTTGGTTTAGTATCTCCTTTAAATAATTATCAAATTGCAGAAAATGTCTGATGTGCGCATGTAACGTTATTTTTGCATTATGAAAAATTACTGGCAATTCTCATAATATCCGATGCTTTCCTGATTTCACTCCTCAGAAAAATATTTACGTTGCGGTTGGGTACTGTTTCAGGAGTTTTGTTTAGTATAATTTCAGATATTAAAAGAATAAAGTTACGTAAGTATTTCTCCACTCACTTTCTGCGAAAAACGAAGTGGAAAATATATTTGTTTAAGTAAGTAATTTAAAAATTTTAAAGTTATGTTCTTTATTGGGTCAATTATTACCAAAAATGACAATTTGAAAATTTAATAATTTAATTTTATTATTTTAAAGAAAAAAAAAAATTCTTTAAAGTAAAAATTTGCACAAAATTTAAATGTAAATTTAACTTTATAATTACATAAGATAGTCTCCATTATATGATTTCAAAATAGGAATAATGTATGATAGTATTAAAGTTACAAATGGCTAGAGTAAAATGAGAGATGATTAGTGTTAGTAAAATTGGAAAGATTGATAAAATTGGTTCATTAAAAAAAATAGGAATATATTTAAAATTAAAAATAAGACTTGAAAATGATTAATGATATAAAATTTATCAGAAACTCTTTGCATAAAGAATTGAAAAAATATCAATAAAAGTTTAGCAACTTAAGTATTATTTCTTAATTCAATTTTAAATATTTATTCCAAAAGATAAATTGGACACAAAATATACTTTGGAATAAGAGGAAGGAAAATGGATGGTAGCAGAATTCGGTAATATAATTTTTTTTTTCTTGCTCAGTAAATAATGCGTGGAATAAGATCATAAAACTATTGTTCCATGTTTTATTGTTCCTAACAATACATGAAATTAAGTGAAATTGTAATGCAGAATAATTGCCACCCAAATCTTCCCCTTGTTTACTCCAAAAATAAAATGAGACTCAAAATATTAGAAAATACGAAATCTACGATTATATATCAAAAATAATAAAATATTAATTAGTCCAATAACTACATATAACTTTGACTAAGTTTTTCACAGAAAGTTTGAATTTGGGTACCAATTTTTAAACCATAATGGAAAATTGTTGTCCACGTTAGCCTAAACTAAAATTTTTCTTATTTAACCAAATCTTTTTTGTAGCTATATCACTTAAAAATATGGCCAAAACAAGTTGGCCATATTTGACTTTGACTGTTCAGTCTGACGGACTTTCACTCTTTTGACTTTGAAACCACAATTTTAAGTTTTGCAGAAAACCTAAGCCAAATGAACGTAATTGTTAGCTCAATGAATATTTTTTTTAGTCTAGAAACAAAAAAAAGGCATGGCCAAAGCAAGTTTCAGCGA